TTGCTGAAAATTTGCCAAAAGTTATACCGCAAACGTTCGATATCGCGCAATTGGCTAATATAAAATGACGATAAATGACATTAATCCAAGTACTTTCTCAGTACATAATGGTTGTTGGGAATTGAGAAAAACTACGATCCCGGCATTATCTACGCTAATAGGTTGTCTTATGAATTTATATTATTGATCGTGACGTCGCGGAGACGCAATTGTAATATTGCGTGGAGAATAAGCAAACTATTTGCTCTAATTAGCCGCAATTAAGCCGAGAATTATAATGGTACGCTTGGCGATGAAATTCTTGTGGATGACATATATGTATATATCCCATGCCAAACACCATAGCCGAATTCTTCTTTGGCATAGTTAGGCGCGCGTGTACCGAGGGCCAAGAGAAGAAAAAAAAAAAGTCGAACGATTCAAATAATTGTATCGCCAATTTTAGCATTTAGGCATAGCCAACAAGTCGAAACGAGCTCGTTGCACACCAAGTGCGCAAACACTAAAAATAAATTGTGCAAAAGGAAAGGGAAAACAAAAAGGTGGAGTTTGAGTCTTAGAATGCGCCATAGTTAGACGGCGAAGGCGCCAAGGGAACGAGTTTTAGCCTTTTTTGCGCTTGTTCTCGTCTCTCTTTATCGTCTTCTTGAATAAACGTCGTTAAAATTAGTCGATGAGATAGCGGAGGTGGAAGGTCTGGATAGAGCGTGTTTCTTTTAATTCTCGATGAATGAATAGAAAATCGTACACGAGCGAGCGTGTCGTCGCGATATGACGAATGTTTTCGCGGCGCGGTCGATCGCTTTGACCGTAACCGACCGACCGACTACACACACACACACACACACACACACACACACACACACACACACACACACACACATACAAAGAAAATCGCCTCGTAACGCTTAAGCTCTAGTTTAACATCGCCTCTTTTTATTGGCTTATTTGTCCTACATATTTTTACGCGATGTAGTTATCTATAGGGCTCGTCTAGTCGAGAAATACTATTTTTCTTCTTCTTCTTCTTCTTCTTCTCTCTCTCTCTCTCTCTCTCTCTCTCTCTCTCTCTCTCTACTTTAGCGACACGAGTTGCCGTGATAGTTGGTGTTATAGAGTACAATTTGAAAAACATTGCTCCGTTGTGTAAAAGTCAGAGTACGAGAGTGTGCGAGCGTAGATTTAAGGAAATGATCGTAATAAGCATTGGCCGATGCATTTTACGCATTCCGTAGCTCGCTCAGGATCTCAAATAAAATTGTTAATTTATAAAATGCAAATGATTGTGTCGTGATTTACGATTTGCGCGCTAAAGAATATACGCTCGGTATCATAAATTTGCGAGTCACGTAAACTTTTTTTCTTCCTGTCCGTCTTCCGCTGAACAGGAACTCGACGTCGCCGCTAAACGCAGCTCCATTCGCGGCAGCTCTTTCGACATTTTAACGTCGGCGGACGCGCCCGAGGTTGTCGACTCTCGTCCTTTAAAAGCTACTTCTGGCTTCTTGTAATCTTTTCAGAGCTTAAGTGCATTTCAGAAAGTGACAAGCCGATGAGCTAGTTGGACAACCAAAAACGACATTTAAAAAGCAAGAGCTTGTTAAGCGATGTACTAAATCTTCTATGAAAGAGCATTTTAATAACGGAATTAGCAAGCACCTCGATCAACAACAGCACTGGCAAATTAAAAGATTAAGACGGCATCGCTGCTGAGAAAAATCCCGATGAAAAGATCGCAAGATCGTGTTAACGCTCGAATGCGTTTTAGAAATGTAACATTAGACAAACACTTAAATGGCCATTATCGCGCCACTCCAAGGAAAACAACCGACTGAATAGAAGAGAATTACCAAGCAGAACTGTCGAGAGACGTTATAATTTAATGCCGCTATCTTGTACATCCATTATTGATCCTACTAAATTCCAAGGTTACGTCAATGTCAAAATACAGTAGCGAATTAAAGCGACCCCCGGAATTCTCCGTCCACGTTGAGTATTAAAGTTATCTTTGAGCTCTTAGCCGAAGCTTCGAGCTAATAATATTTATGCATAATTTTTTTTTTTTCATTGTTCGCTTATCATAGTGCAAGAACAAACACGATTCGTCAAACTTCAATATCAATTACGAATACGTAATAATGAAATTTTTTGCTAATTACTGACTGACAAATGACCAAGTGAAACTGAACCGGCAAATCTCACGGAACTTTTTTAGTTTTTTTTTTTTTTTTTTTTTAGTCTTTTTAGACCTTTTTTTAGTCCATTAGTCCATCAAACAATGACGCGAATGCAATTTTTTGGAGAATTATAGGAGGAGGATGTCTCTGGGCTATTACAGACTTGACGAAAAGCACGAGCATTGCACTCTCTCCGGCTTTTCCCGTATGCGTATTATCAAGTTGCACGAGCCTTTCGTTAACTTTCAATTGGAGCGAGCCGACAGTGCCGCCACAGACGGCGCGATTAACATTCACTCACCCGTGCGCACGCGAGAGAAAGAGAGAGAGAGAGAGAGAGAGATAGATAGATATAGAGAGAGAGAGAGAGAGGGAGGGAGCGAGTAATGTACAACGAGACTCAATTGTTACAATGAGCCTGTGCTGGGAAATACTCTCTGTCACTGTAGTTTATTTCCCAACGACCGGGACTCGCCCGGCGTCCATCGAGCACTTGGTCCCCCTTGGCTGGCCTATCATTGACAGTGAATCTCGACATTCGTGGATCTAGAGAATCATCACCTCGGTCGCCTCCACCGTCGCCCTTGCGTGCCTAAACTCCCCGCCCACGCGTCTTCACGCACCGGCATTGTCTCGGCTGATTAGTAGCGACGCATACGTGCGCCACAGGACTAATGGGCCACGAGCCAAGTACGACCGGGGCCCTCCGAGAATGACGTAGGCGCTCGAGCGCTTCCGCGATGACGGCTCGACCATTCATAGATCGCTCGAGCCACGTTTCGCCAGCCAGCTGACACTTATCCTTCCCTAATTCCCATCCCGTTACCTAGCCTTACTTATCAACCCTCTCTCGAGCGCCGGAGATCCGATTCCCCGATGATGTAGCGCCACGCACCGACCACGTCATCCTCCGTTCTCGCGCAAACGCCGTTGGCGGTAACCGGAGCCGAGTCGCGGATGTTGCCGCACTTAGCCGTACGGGCTCGATGCGATGATTAATAATGCATTCTAATCGTTTGGAAAGAGAGTGACTCAGGAGGCATTTTTCATGACGCGTCCGAGCGCTCCGGCAGAAATACGTTGCGCCACCACTTCGCATAGCTTATAATCAATCATGTCAACTCGGGCGCATTCTGCACGCGGATCTGATTCATGCCAATAGAACGTTCGTGTGTCGCGAAAATATTTGGATGGAGCTCGGAAGCTTCCTCGGGCGCTCTATTGTGCGTTATCATTGGCAATATCCCGAGTGCGCGAGTAAAGATGGAGAATGCGCGACAAATTAATGAGTTATCACGTGTAACGGGGATGATGGATCGTTTGCTTATGGCTTTAGAGAAGGCTGTGACAATGCCGGTGCCGTGGCAATTTCGATGAAATTTCCTTCGACTTTCCCCCATGCGAAATCGATCGTATTCTTCCTTTTGCTGCCTTTGTTTTGTTTGTTTGTTTGTTTGTTTGTTTGTTTGTTAGTTTGTTGTTGTTGTTGTTTTTTTTTTTTTTTTTAAAGCGCTTCTTGCTTTCTTTTACCGTACGATCGCGATAAAACCGCGTCATTTTCAAGAGGTCGTGCGGCTTATGTCCTCTCGTTCGCGGCCTTTTTCTCAACAACGTCGTAGTCTAGACGGTGTCCTTCCATCGACGTCGTCCTCGAGGCCCAACGAGGATCGTCGATAGTCGCCTGCGAGCAGCCAATCGAGAAACCGCCGCGTCAAGGAACCCTGATGTACGTGGGGGGTTAGACGATGACGTCAGCGCCGGGGCGACAGGCCGGACGAGCACTTTCACGCGCTTTTATCTTGCGTAATGCCGAGTGTCCCGCCACCCGCTCGTCCGTTGCGCTCGAGAGACCGACCGGACGTGCGATTCCATTTTGTTCCCTGTCGTTTCGTCGCGATGCGCGCGAACGCTCGCTTTATCCTCTCCTATCGCTTTCAATGGAAAACAACGCCAATGCGAGAGCATGAGCGAGAGAGAGAGAGAGAGAGAGAGAGAGAGAGAGAGGCGATGAAACATGGACTGCCCTCTATTCCACGCGGATAATAGTGAATTATGATAGCACAGCTGGATCACCCGAAATTAGCGTTACCTCCTTGTACTGGACGGTTTCACTTCACACTTCCAGGAGGGCTCGACGCAAGCCAATCGAGGAAGTATTGCCAGCTGACCCCATCAACGAACCTTTTAAATTAACATTATATCTTTTAAATGCCTATATTATACATATGCGCTCGCCTATGTATATATATATATATATATATGGTTTCTTATGATCGTAATAATTCGAATTTTTAAGCCATTTATCATCATCTCGCCATCTCGCCATCTCGCGTAATACAATTGAAACTTACAATTTATTTTTACATTATGAAATTCACTTCAATTTCTTTCTTTATTTCTTTCTTCGTTTTATCCTCTTTTTTAGATTTTTTTTTCTTTTCCAGGAAAATTGCACTTGCATGTGTAATTATTATAAGATTTTGAAGTGCTTGTCGAGTCTGTTATTTAAAAAATTTGCCAAAATCGTTACAACCCTCCTTCATTCTCTTTTTGTGAGTTTGGAATGTTTTTTTTTTATTTTTTAACATCAAGTAAATCCAAAATTCTAAATGATTAAATCATTAACGATATTATATTAGGGATATTAGATAGATAATCGTAAGGTACGAAATATTGAAATCGAAGCGATAAATTTGTATAATCAGGTAAGAATGCATATGTCGGGTAGGAGAGAGGGGGAGGGCGGATGAATATGTCAGTCGCTTGTACCATCTTGTTTTTGGGATTTGGGACTTATCGAGTTCTTCTCATTTTGTGTTTTAGGCCTCGATGGACCTTCCTCCGGACAAGGCGAAGCTTCTGAAGCAGTATGACAATGAGAAGAAATGGGACATCATATGTGATCAAGTGAGTATTTATATGTCGTGTGACGTAATCGCGGGTGGCACGTACACACGGCATTGACGTACGTTTATACTTTTCCTCGCTTTTCCCCTGCCTATGTTCCTTTCTTAGGTTATGAGTAAGAGCGCGTATGCACCGTCTATATAATATATATATATATATATATATATATATATATATATATATATATATAGAGAGAGAGAGAGAGAGAGAGAGAGAGAGAGAGAGAGATTAAAGAGAATAATATAAGAGGAGAGATAGATAGAGATATAGAGATAGATAGATAGATAGATAGATAGATAGAGAGAGAGAGAGGGAGAGAGAGGGAGAGAGAGATTAATCCAAATGAAGATGGATTTACGATCGTAAAACAATCAAGCAGTTGGAAGTTGTTTCGCGACTTGTTTCTTAGTCATTTATTTAAAGAGCTCCTTTCTTGCGCATGTACGTACAACGCGCATTTACTTTACTTTATTTACCTTTTTTTTGTTTGTTTGTTTGTTTGTTTGTTACGGTCGAGACACCAACGGAACGACAAGGATTTATTTTTACGCAATAAAAAAAGTAAATCTACGCGAGCAAAAAAGTGTCGGAAATCGCCGCACGAAAACAGGTTATACGAGCGAGTAGGACGAAGGACGAGTAAATAGGGAACAATATAGCCGATAGATAGGAACTTGCAATTTCTGCATAACTCCGTACTCTATAATATCTAGAGTGTCGCACTTCCGAGTTACGGATATTGCAAATAAAACCTTATCTTCTGTATACGCACGGGCACTGCTCTGTTTGTTTTATAGGATGTTCAAGTAAAACCAATTATGATCGATTTGTCGAGGTTTACTAGGCAAATAGTCGTATTATTTCTGCGATTGCAGCATCAATTCTATGCCATATATCATAGAATTATAATTCGTGGAAGATAATTAAATGCCGAGGTTCGTTTCCTACATATACATATTTATGTTTATGTATAACATATTCCTGAATTTCTTCTTTTTTTTTTTTTTTTTTATTCTATGAGTTATTAGAAAATCTGCTCCGAGACTTGGAGTACCATAATTTCTGATATAATTACAGTTACAACAACCACAGTTCCTTATCGCTGTACTTTCACTTCAATAAATTTTCTACTTATTATTTATTTCTTTCTTTCATTTTACTCATTATTTTTTATTTTTTTATTTTTTCTTTTTCTTTTGGATTTACTTATTTATTCTTTATATTCTTTATAGCGAAATTGATTTGGCGAATTGTTAAAGTGTGAATTAATGTTTTATTTTAGTATGCAGACAATGCAGACAATAGACAGAAAAATTGTGCTTTCCTATGACAATGAATTACAATTATAAATGATAAGCCATTAGCCATTATGTTATTAATTGTAATTGTAGTTTAGAGAATTTGCAAACTTTTATTACAATGAAAATTTAACAATATTGATGCTAATTCTTAAGCAACTATTATTCTTACATTATTACTCCTATTAGACTATTAAGTATCATTAATTATTAACATTATCTACATTGGATTAAATGTACAAATCATATAAGGTCGAAATTAATAATATTCCGTAATACGATTAACTTTTAATCGACATTCGAAAAACATTGCAAGCCTTTGTTCCTTCCAAACTCTTATTTTTATTTTATTTCTCTACGTAGAAGTTCTTTCTTCTCTACGATTAAAACATTGGATAAAAACCTCGACAACGAGATATATTTACATAATATTTAATATACCTATATATAATTAAATAATTTCATCGCGCATTATTGGTTATCTTGCACTTACGTGTACATGGTGTCTAAAATATTTCCCATTAAAGAATAAAAAATTCATTCGAACATTGATTTCAATTGTGTGAACAGCAAAAATACCAAACGAGGAGGAAAAAGTATTTTTAGCGGTTTGTACTAGTTCAGTGTCTTTATGTTAATTGATGCTTAGTCGTGGTCATTGTAAGTTTATTGATTCGTCTTACTGACCCGAAGTTTAATATTAAGATGGAAATTCAAACGTACCCACCTAATTATTATGATATGAATTCGCATGTTTTATTAATCTAAATAATAAACTTCGCTTAAGCGCAACGTTAATATTAAAAAAGGCTTGTTTTTATTCGGTAAATTAATAATGTTCCAGCGATAATAAGTAAAACTATAGTTCGTTAACGTATCAAAAAAAAAAAAAAAAAAAAAAAAAAAAAAAAAAAAAAAAAAAAAAAAAAAAAAAAAAAAAAAAAAAATCAGTAATAATATAAAAGCACTGCTATAATGAAAGTGATGAAAGGCATATTTTAATGAAGCGAAATTACTCGAAGTAATAAAAGTTTTAAAAGTAATCTGTACAACTATTCATTGAGCGTAAGAGACGATGATGGTTTCCTTCTTTCTTTTTACCTAATGAATGCGGGTACCTTAATCACTCGCTTCGGCTTCTATGAAACATTTAATATTATAGAGGATACACCCGATCAAAATAACATAAGAGCTTAGCCTTTGTTTTCTTCGAGATTTATAACTTATCGTATCATTTATTATTCATTCGTTTATGAAAAGGAAACATAACGAATAAAAAAATATAAAAATAACGAGAGTAACGATATGCAACGCGTTACCACCACCCCAAGCCAACATAATAAAAAAATACGAATTTAATAACTAACTGCCATACTTTCCGAACCCTGGGAACGCGACGACGCAATAAGCCATAAACATTCGATAACTTACGATTGATTATTATCGGACATCGTTTGTTTCGACAATTTGAGCCAGCGCACTCGCCGCACACTTTCGGTAGCTATCGTATTTACAGTAACGACGAAACGACTCTCACCACAAATCTTACACTCGCTTATCCCATGTAAAGATCTATAAAATCGTGCCCCCAAAAATGCTCGCGACAACGCTGCCCAGACCATTGGTCAATGGGGGACGAAGAATACGAAGAAGAAAAAGAGGAAGAGGAAGAGAAAGAGAAAGAGGAAGAGGAAGAGGAAGAGGAAGAAAAAGAAGAAGTAGAAGAAGAAAATGAAGAGGAAGAGAAAGAGGAAGATAAAGATGAAGAAGAAGAAGAAGAAGCAAAGGGTCAAGGGCCTTACGATCATCGTTGAATAATCCCAAGAGCTGCCGCCAAAGTCCTCAAACTCCCGTCCCCGCCCCTCTCCCAATATCCTATCCCCTAAGTTCCCGAGAACGGCGGCTGCTGCTGGAGCTCGTCGTAACCTCGCGGGGGCCACTCTCCACTTATGGGCGCAATAATCGCGCGAGTAGCGAAAGCCGGACACACGGCTCGGAGAAACATACAAGTAAATCGCCGACGCTCGTGTATCGCCTTTCTCGTGCTTCCCGACCGACAATCGTCGCGCGGCACCGCGCACGCGCACAGCCTCGCGATGCTCGCGCCGTTGCCGTTGTGCGAAAAGTTAACAATCGCGAATAAGCGCGCACTTTCGTATTTCGTATTTCCATTCTCGAGGGATACGCGCTTTTGTTTACGCATCGACGGCCGGCGGCAGGGGAACGGCCTGCCCCATCTCTCTCTCTCTCTCTCTCACTCTCTCTCACTCTCTCACTCTCTCTCTCACTCTCTCTCTCTCTCTCTCTCTCTTTCTGTCCCATAGCGGCCCCTCCCCGCGGCTCAACCCAGTCGGCACGACCAAACGAATATTCAATTGAGCCGTTTGTCAATTAGGAAATGCCCCCGAGGGCCACTCGGCGGGGAGCTGTGCCGCTTCTCCAACCACGGGCTCGGCGATTCCCGACGCTTCCGAATGCCCTTAGCGCCCCGTAAAGGATCTCTCGCCAATCTCCCGCGCCCGTAGCCTCTTCCGCGTGCTTGCCTTACCAAACGTAAATTCACTTCCGCCGATAAAGGAAGTTGCGCGACGACGCATATTGCCTGAACTGTCTGTAAAGGATCTCTGACGCACGTCGTCGCAAACTCCCCGGGTGGCGCGATTAATGCGATTAAAAGCCCGAGAAAATGGAGTGACCGCGAGTTCTTACGATTACGCGATCGGGCGAATCGTGTTAACGGATAGAAAATGTCGTAAATCTTTCGTCGCGACTAATATCGCTGCCGAGGACGAGCGAAACTCGCGGGAATCGCCGGCTGTTGTTGATGCTGCTGCTGCTGGGAGGGAAGAGATTTTTTCGATCGGGACGGGGAACGCCTCGGGGTATGTTGCTGCCGCGGCTGCTCTTGCTGCTGGCGCTGCTCTGTCCTCCTCGTGTTTTGAAAGGGCCCGTGAAGCATGTGGGGGTAACACGAGACGGATGTAATGCAAGCCGCGCCATTATACATTGCGAGCCCGCAGCGGAGTTACGAAAAAAGTGTGCTGCATCCCTCGCACCTCTCTCGCTCTCTCGCTCATCATTTCGCATGCGCGTGCATTAGGTGGCCCTTCCGGGAATAATCGACGCCGCGGCGGGCTTTTGTGGTCGGCGTTTTTTTAAACGCCGGCGACGACGAGTACCGCTGGAGGAGTCACGCTTCGCGACCGCCAACGAGGAAAGCGGAAAATTGCGTCCCCAAAAATCAACGACACGTGTCGCCGCCGCGCACTCGACGAGTCGAGAGAGAGAGAGAGAGAGAGAGAGAACGGGTGCGCCACCCCATGCACACTTGATTTCCAATTAAAAACTATGCGGGACAAAAATTCACGAGCGTTTTCTTCTTTTTAACGCGTGACGAACAAAGCTGGCTTTTATGCTCGGCAACGTCATGTTAGCCGAGATTTTTCTATCGTAGTTTAAAAAAAAAATTTTCGCTACATTGAGCGACGCAGACTGAATGAATCGCATGGGCCCGCGAGCGATAAACGTAAACGTCGTTTATTAAGATGGCAAATTGATGAAAATCGCTCGATTGGCACGTGAATGAATGCGAATTGAATAGAGCAAAATCGAGTGCCGCGTGACTTTGGCGAGGCGTACTTACTAGGAGGAAAGCTTATTTAAGACATTCGATGAATTTCATGAAAATTATGAGATTTGAGTTTTAATCGAAATTTTTAAAAGCGCACGGCTGTCGTGAAAAATCGCTTTTAATTAAGTGCATTGATAGAAGGGAGCAAAAAATTTTCGATACGTTTATGCGATTGTGAACCAAGTGTCATGAGAGCATTGAATCCCCATATTGTAGCACTTGATTTTCAGATAAATCAACAATAATCCGTAAAATTAATATCACATTGCGAGTAATAAATTACGAACAAGCCAAATCACGGCACTCGAGAGACAATTTATTTCCACATACGCGCGCCTACGTATGCGCAAACTGTGCGCGAACAAATTGATTTTAAATTTTGCACGCAATAATATATTGTCATTGTCATTGTCATTTATTTCATTGCCATTGTCATTATTGTTATGTTTGTTGTTGTCGTTATTAGTATCTGCGCAGTATGTGACAATAACTTTGCGTTTTTAAGAAATTATGGCAGGAAATAATAGCGAGGCTCTACTACATTTAATTATCCTCATTTATCGAATTAAAGATCGAATCGACAAATAAATTAGCCTCCCAAGTACCCTGCGAAGAAAACAAAAAATAATAATAATGTAAATAAAATGGAAAAAAAGAGGTAATTAAAAAAAAAAAAAAAAAAAAAGAAAAGAAAGAAAAGAAAAGAAAAAAAAAGAGAAAAAAAAGAAAAAAAAAGGAAAAAAAAAAGAGAAAAAAAAGAAATGGAGAAAAGAGATGAAAGTGGTGTTAGTAGGATTTGGCAAACGAATGTAAATTTATCTGACGAGAGTTATGAAAGAAATTTACGTACATCCATATAAATTCCTACTCTCTTTTCTTACTCGTAAAGCTTCGCGGACATGATCTTACACATACGGTAGATATAATTTAAGCCGACCTGAAAGTTAATTTAAAATTGTAATGGTTGAAAGAGGCATATCTAATGGGGCGAAAGTAATTTAGATTTTAAAGCCGTGACGGCCATCTTTATCGAAATTCAATTAATTCGATTAACAACGACGATTTATAATAATTTTATGTCAATTCCATTGCATGGCGTTTAGCTTATTTGCAAAATCACTTAAAAAGTTTACAAACTTCTCGAACGTCAATACTTACTGCAATTTCCTTAATTGTCAATGAAAGAATCGTTCGTTTCAATATTCCACGAAATTATTAGGTTTTACAATAAAATCAGCGGCCGAGCGCGTCATTCGGAATTCTCCATAATTCTGCTCGTCGAAGGTCTAATAACGAAAGCGAGATGACGAGATTAACAGCCATTAACCAATTTATCCAAAATTAATTCATTTTATCTGTCCCTGTCTATCTGTCTCTCTGTCTTAGTGTGGCAAATCCTCGATCCAAATTTATCGATTAACGCTTTAAATACCGTAATCTTAACAATTTGACGTATGCGTATTTTATGCGTGGCACATGCTAATGCGAAAAAGGTTACTTCAAAAAGCGCCTGCCTTGCCACTGCCCCTTCCCCCCTTCCCACCCACCAACCGTAATCGCGCACAAGTTTAAAATGCAAATATTTGATTTCAGGAGAGAGTACAAGCTAAAGATCCGCCGTCTCACTACCTGGGGAAGCTACGGACCTACTTGGACCCGAAGGCATCGAGGAGCCATCGAGTAAGCCGCCTTACGTCCCCTACAGACTTATCTTTTGCCTTCTTTTTTCCTTTATTTCCCGTTTTGTTATCGCGGTTGCGAAATATCTGCCAATAATATGTTAATATGCTGTACTTCACTTTGACGTCGGGATGCATTTGATGAAAAGTAATCGATAAGCTTTGTACAGAACCTCCGCTGTACACGAGCGACATTCCAATATACGAATACACTCGCTCTTGCACGCGGATGGGACTTTGGTGAATTATTATTTTTTTATAGATTTTGCCCGGTGGTTAAAGCCTCTTTCTGTTACATTATGATTTTTGGCATACGAGGACGCAAATAGAGTTGCATACTAATGATTACACAGTCGTATCGTTTCCTTATGTTCTTCCAGAAGAGAAAGATGGTGGGCGAGTCGACGTCGACCCAAGTACTACGGGACTTGGAAATCTCGCTTCGCACAAATCACATCGAGTAAGCAAGTTATAATTACCTTTTAAAATCCCTCCTCGTCGACGGGGCCGCCGTCCCACACGTGCTCGCCCTTCTTCCCTCTCCATCCCCACCGTCACCCCCACCTTTTTCCCATGTTTTAGGCGCGCAGCCTAATTATGCCAAGCCCCTCTCCCCTACCACTCTTGTTGGATGAGGAAAGAGGCAGCTGAATTTATTCAGTGAAATTTATGCGATAGGCAATTGTGTAAATTTTGCCGGCCGCTGCATTTTTCCATTTAGGCTCGCCCTTCCCTAATACTTTCTCCGCTGTTTGTAAGAGACGGACGGCCGCTAGTCCCAATTACCATTAAGAATTTTTTACGCACAATCGTAGGAGAGTGTCGAATTCTCGGGGCCACGAACCACCGGCTGCGCAAATTGCTATTAAGTGTAATTTAACTAAATAATAGGGATTGTGGAGGGGTGGATTTGTCGGTGGGGCGTTGGATTATGGTGGAGTAGTAGAGGTGGGGTGGTGGGCCGTCGCTCTTATTATTTATTATCGTTTCATAATAATATTTGGCAAGAACGAAGACCAGAATCTTATGTTGAATATTCATTCGCCATACGACATTGTATCCACATAATTGGCTTCATTACGATTTTGCAATTTCTTACTTAACGTACTATCAATTTAATTATCATATATGTAAATTTCTTTATTTTTTTTTTCTTATTTTTTTTCTTTTTAATCTATTGGACCAAGGTAGTATTTATTAATAATATCATATTATTATGATTATTCTGTAATAATCAGAGCTATAATTGTAATATTGTACATGGATTTTAAAGGCCACGTAGACTCAGTGGTACGTGTACAAGCATTTCTTGCCATCTTTCAAGCAAATTTTTAACACTTTAGTAGTCAGAGCTTTAAAAAAAAAAAAAAAAAAAAAAAAAAAAAAAAAAAAAGGAATTGCAATTCAATATAAAAGTAAAATTAAACACGAAGAATTTATAATCGTGCGATTAAAGCTCGAGCGAAATGATAAGGAAATTTCATGTAATCAGTTGCCAATTTTCTTGGAAGTCAAACCGAACGTACGTACGTACGCTAATTCCGTAAGCAAAGCAGCGAAAAAGATATTTAATTATTAATCATAGACGTACAATTGAGATATCGTGTCACAGCGAATATGTAGCTAATATTGCAGCACTTTTTTTTCTTTTCTTTTTCTATTTCTTTTTTTTTTTTTTTTTTGTTTATTTTGTTCTTTAGCGTCATCGATCAATTTAACACTAGCGCCGGTCACCAGACACTAATAAAAAGCAACTGCAATGTCAGAAATTAATTATCTCCGGCACGATCGATTTTCACGCCAGTGTTTGGCGATTTTTTGACAAGCGAAACGCGCGGCCGCAAATCGACGGAGCGCAAAAAAAAAAAAAAACAAGGCCAATACGCACGTTCGTCGATACGTCGCTAAAATATCGTTAAAACGTCGCTAAAACCTCGCTTAATCAGACGCCTTTTTTCGTTTTTTTTTTTCTTTTTTTTTTTTTTTATTGCGACCGTTTGCAGATGGGTCAGAGAATTCCTGGACGAGGAGAATCAAGGCCTGGACGCTCTGATAGACTACCTCAGCTTCAGATTACTGATGATGCGGCACGAGCAGCGGCTCCTCGAGTCGAGAGCCAATTCCGAGGAGAGAATCCAGTCGACAAGTGAGTGCGTCAACTTCCGCGCTCCGCTTCCCTTTTTACACTTTACACGCGTATTTCCTTATCTTTTTCGCCTTGTTTTTTCTTTCTTGCAACCTGCAACGTTATTTACGTAATCTGTATTGGGAATTGTAAGTTTCGGTCGTAACACGCGTACGTGACATTTCATTAGACTTTAGAGCCGATTAGACTTGAAATTATTAATTAGGTACAATGGTGCTTTACGCTACTACGATCCTGCGTTTTTATCCAAATATGCTCAAGTTCACTTACGTACTTTCCCCTCTCGAGTAATTCGCAATTTCGCTCGATACCCAGTCGAGTCATCTTTACATTGCCAGTTACCTTGTATTTTTATCCTCGCGTTGTTGCAACGCCCAGCCATTCGGTTCTACCAGACTTTTGCTGGATAAAGCGAGTGCGATCGCGAGCTCCCGGGCCTGGCGCAAATAATACGCAAATAATACGCAAATAGTACGCAAATAGTACGGGAATAATACGCGAATAATACCCGAATAATACGCGAATAATACGCGAATAATACGCGAATAATACGCGAATAATACGCGAATAATACGCGAATAATAATACGCGAATAATCGGACGTTATTGCAAATCGGCGTGCACGGCTTATACGAGGTGAGTTTCGTCGAGATGATCGGGACGATCGGGCCGAATGATTGGATTTGGACGCGAGGCATCGAAGGAACTACCGGCTAATCACGTAATCGCAACATCCGGTCGCGCGTGTTCTGCTACCTACGATCGTAACCTTCCTCGCGCTCGCTCGAAGAAAGGGACGCAACGCCCCCGCGATCATCGTCGTGAACCGACAGTCGTTAAAGGCCGCCTACCTGGGCGCGCTCTTCCTATTTCCACAGCGGGTACGAGCGAGACAGCGCAGCTGAACAATGGCTGCCTCAGGCCACCGCTTCACGAGCTCAAGGACAGTCCCGGGGTGAAGAGGCGCTCACGACATGTGGCGCGGCTCAACATGGGGGAGGCTAAGGATGACATCCATGTGTGCATACTCTGCATGCGAGCCATCATGAATAATAAGGTGAGATGGCGCCTCCGTCAGCTCCGACTCTTGGACAATTTTTGCTACTACGAACGAGCCGTCCGGTACTCGCGACGATCTCCTTATCTTTATTACGGCATTTCCCCTCTTCCCCCTACCTCCCATATATAAATATATATCTTTAAAAGCGTGAATTATTTGATTGTTTCATTTGCTTGGGAGACTCGTGATTTAGGTGTTTATGCGTGTTAGCCTAAGTAATTTGTCGCTCGGGCATTTTCCTACGTATTCCTCGACAAAATGCTTAAATTGGATTTTTAATTGTTCAATTGTTCGCTGGCTTAAGCGCGCAAACTTTCTATCCTCATCTTTAATCTAATTTCCCCTCGCCAAATCGTCGATTAAAAAAAAAAGATCGGTAAAGAAAGCGCATCCGCGGACTCTCCGCTCTCAATGATCTATCGAGTAGCTGCGGCACGGAATGCGAATAAATATTTTGTCGCGGTTGAGCGAAGGGTCAGCGCGTCACAAGCGTGAAAACATTCGTCGAAATTTCGAAAGATTGTTTGCCGAGTGTAAACGTGTAAACGCGTGCTCGGCACGAAAGTAAACAACTCCGGATTACATTGCGCGATTATTATAATCACGGCATTTCGCTAAATATTACATTATCTCCTCGCTATAATATCGATTGTTTATATACAAGTGCGTGCGTGCGTGCGTGAATGCGCGTGCACTTTTGCGCGAACTTTGATGTAAAACAAGAAAAAATAATAAAACAAAACAAAAAACAAAAAAAAAAATCAAGGCTTTATTACAACATTCTTCAATGCTTCAATTCCAAATAAGGATCTCTTGGTTCTTCAACAAGTCCAAAAGTTTAATAATTTGGCCATAATTGTTAGCCGAGGAAAAAGTCTCGCGCCTTCTCCCTCGAGCTTCATCATCGATTTAACCAATCGTTTAAAAGTCCATTGTCTCGAAAGTGTCCATTGACCGAGCCTACTTTCACGTCGACCCTTCTTCTATTCGATGACTTCAAGTCAACGAATCGAGCGCTTCACCTGTTTGTTCTCAATAAGAAAAGAACGAAAAAAAAAAAAAAAAAAAAAAAAAAAATAAAACAGAAGAAGAAACAAAGTAACCTAACGCTCGACGCAACGACAATTTCTTTGCTTTTATTTTTATATAATATTTATTGAAACGGCTCGATTGCCGTTGGACAAATGTTTGTATTAGACATTGACGAGATTTAACGCAGTGCAGGGAATTAATTATTCATTTGTAATGTTGTCGCACTTGTACCTTAGCGAAGCGGCGAATAATACGAGCAACAACGTAAGCCATTTTGCTCATTAAACATTGCTAATATTAAGACACGAATATACGCACAAATCACTCTTCAGATGTAATAAGAGAGTGAGTGAGTGAGTGAGAGAGTGAGTGAGAGAGTGAGT